CTATTTGTCTTTTTATTGTTGAGTTGTAAGTGTTCTCTATTTGCTTCGTGTACTGGGTCCTTATCGGATATTTCCTCCCATTCTTTGGGTTGTCTTCTCGCTTTCTTGATGGTGTCCTTTGAAGCACAAAAGCTTTTAATTTTGATGAAGTCCAATTTATTTTTTCTTATGTTGCTTGAGGTTTTGATGTCATATCTAAGAAACCATTGCCTAATCCAAAGTCACTAAGTCACAAAACAAACTCCTATATTTTCTTTTAAGAGTTTTATAGTTTTAGAACTTACATTTAGGTCTTTGATCCATTTTGAGTTAATTTTTATATATGGTGAGAGGTAGGAATCCAAGTTCTTTTGCAAATAGATGCAAAAAATGCCCTGTGCTGGCACCACGTGCTGTTCCAGCACTATTTGTTGAAAAGACTGCTTTTCCCCCATTGAATTATCTTGGCACCCTTTTGGAAAATTAGTTAACTATAAATGTCAAGTTTATTTCTGGATTCTTAATTTTGTTTCATCAATCTGTATGTCTGTCCTTATGCCACTACTATACAGTTTTTATTACCATTGCTTTTAGGATCAGTTTTATCCATTTCTGTCCCTCCAAAAAAACAAAGCAGGTGGGATTTGGGGAATATTGTCATCTTAACAATATTAAGTCTTCCAGTTCATGAACATGGGAAATTTTACCATTTATTGAGGACTTTTAAATTTTCTTTCAGCAATATTTTATAGCTTTTATTATACAAGTCTTGCATTTGTTTTACTAAATTTATTCCTAAGTATTTTACTTGTTTTGATGTTATGCAAATAGAACTATTTTCTTAATTTTATTTTTGGGAAAATCCTTTTATGTTAAAAGCTGCTGGAAGTTCAACCCAGATAAAGATTGAAAATAGTGTATGTATTTAAATAAAATATGGTGATTTCTTTTTTTTCATGAGAGCAGCCTGAGAATTCTTTGGGGGTTGAAGTCAAATTTCAGGGGACTGAAGAAGAATCTGGTACCATATGTGATCAGTCTCCACATGTGCTATGCCGCTGTGACATTTTCTCCCTGAGGCATTGCCAGCTTATCCTCCTTCTCTGATCTGGACCATCTTTAGCAATCTGTGAAGCATACCTTTGGTTCTATTAAATATATGTATTATTGAAAGAAAGTTTTACTTGAAAATAGAGAGAGTAAACATTTCTTACAGGGGAACAGGATCATATATTGGAGAATCTTGTAACTATTTTCAATCATTCATTCATTTCATTCATTGTAACCCCTTCTCTTCTAGCAGAACTCAGCTGTGTTGTAGTTGTGGTTAGCACTGTTACTAAAAGGGCTTCTGAGAATATTTTAGCTGAAGCCGCCTACTTTGAAATTTCCTAGGACAGCCATTCCAGTTTTGTATACCTCCTCTTCCCAGTACCTCCAGGTGTCTCAGGGGTTGTCCCACCATTCTCAAAGCACACTACTAGTGAGTTTTATGAAATCTATAACAAAATACAGCACTACTAAATACATGGGGACAAAGACAGAATTAAAACAGTACAACTCCTCTAAAAGGTCCAGATAGATTAGGAAGCACTGCTACACCGTGTGGGCAGTTTGGCTCCTCTTTGTGTAAACCTGTAATCTACTTTTTGACACCTCTTCTCATACATTGTCCCAGGAATAAATTTTGAGAAATTTAAAAGCAACTCAATGTGCTTTAAATTTAGTGCTCAAGGAAACCAAACTCCTCTGTGTGACTTCTCTGTACAGATGATGGATTTCCCAAACCAGAACTAATATCCCAGATTGAGCAAGGGAGAATGCTCTTCAGGAATTTGGGAGAACCACAGAAATCAGGAAACATAATTTGCTCCTCTGCCGATTTGCATTTCGATCCGGTTATGGAGGGAGAGCAGTTTTGGGGTGAGTATTAAGAAATCAGGGCTCTGTCCTTACGACATCACATTCAGGTTTCTTAGTTTTAGTTCTCTGATCTTGTCTTTTTCTTTAGCTGGGCTGAGGCTTGACATCTGGTATATTCTAGCGAAATGCAGGTAAGCATGATGAGGAGTGTGGATTCTGGGTCCGGAGTCAGGATCTTGCTTTTTCTGGGTGACCTCGGGCAAATCACTCCACCTCTCAGTATTTCAGTTTCCTGACCTGTGAAATGAAGATGATAAAAGTACCTACATTGTAGAATTAAGGGTTAACTTAATGGAAAGTGTTAAAAGGATACCTGGCACACAGGCAGAGCTCAGTAAATGGAAGCTATTCTTAGCAGTAGGCAGTGGGGAGACGGCTTCCTTTTGCCCCGGAGACTGTCGTCTCTATTTTAATGCCTAAAACTCAGCTCTCCTCTTGTGTTTCTCCTCACGATGGGAGAGTCTTTTCTGGATTCCTAAAAGTCAGCGTTACGGTAGCAAACGAGAAAGTCAGATGGGAGCTCCAGTCTAAGAAATCTTGTCCATAGTTTTAGTTTTTAGTTGCTTCTTTCTGGAGAGTAAAAGAGCTTTTCTCCACAAATTATTTTAACTTTTGCCATCTGTTGTTAATTCTTCCAAGAAACCTTTTTTAAAAGGTTGGTTGGAATAAGGTGAAGAGGGAGGGACAGAGCCCAGGCCTTGCTGCCTGGTCTTGGGAAGCTCGTCAGGGTTCCGTCAGTAACACTGCCGTCGTCCCTTCTTGACTTCAGGAATGTCTGCACATCGAAATGGGACGAGTCTGATGGTCCTGAAGCCATAATAGTGGTACATGCAATACGCCAGGCCCATCCTAAGCACGTTGCACACATTAACTCATTTAATCCTCACGACGATCTTATGCACCGTTGTTCCCCTTTTTCTACAGGAGAAGGGACTGAAGCCAAGAGAGATTAGCTTGACAGAAGTTGCACAGTGGACTGATGGGACTCGAACCCAGAGAGTCTGGTTCCAGAGCTCAGGCCTTACATTTGTGACCTGTACTTTTTTGCTCTTTTCAATATTCTTCTAAGAATGTTTGGTTTAGTTTCCGCAAACTCCTAACCAAACTCCTGGTCATGAAATAGAACCATGCTGAAACGTACCCCGTTGCATAGCTCAGTGGAAGCCCGGTTCCCAGACCACCACAGGTCACTGTTACGGATCACTGTGCTGGTGGCATAAGCCTGTAGTCATGCTGTAGACAGGAATTCTGACTGAATTTTTGTTTTCAGTTTCAGGAAGTCAGCAAGCTGTGAATTCAGGAGGGCCTGAATGCCATTTTCAAGTAGATCCTCTTCGGATCCAGTGTTCCTCTGAACCCTTATTAGGAAAAAGTGAAGCTGTGTCCTTCAGGCCTGGCCAAGACATCACGCTCATGAAACCACACGGACACGACCCCCAGGCTCTAATCCCAGCAGACCACCACTCCAAGGAACCTACCCAAAGGGAAAGAGTCCCGAGTCCCAGAAAGCCGGGTGTCCCAGGCATCCAGGAAATGCCCTCCAGGGAGGGCACCCCGCACCCTTGCCCTGTCTGTGGGGAAAGCTTTTGGAACCACTTAGAGAAGAACCACAGGAGCCACTCAAAGGACCAGCCGCGTGGGGCCGGGAAGAAATTCAGCAAACAGGCTGAGCTGCAGCCTCAGTGGAGCACCCCTCGGGGACAGAGGCACCTGCGGTGTCATCAGTGTGGGAGCAGCTTCCGCCCGAAGCAATATTTGCTTAGGCATCTGGCCGCCCACGCAGGGAAGAGCCCACTGCAGTGCCCTGAATGTGACGTGTGCTTCCATCACAAGCAGACCCTTCTCAGCCACCACCACCTGCACAAGAGGGAGAGGCCTCCCCAGTGTCCCCTGTGTGACAAGAGCTTTGTCCTGAAGAACAGCGTGCAGGCTCACCAGGGCCAGCCCAGCGAGGAGAGGCCAGCCTCCCGTAGGGAAGGCGACGGAGCCTTCTGTGAGGAGGCCAAGCTCAGCAGTGTGCACTCAGGGGAGAAGCCAGGCCCGTGCCTGGCTCGTGAGGAGCATTGCCACCAGAAGGGGTGCATGGAGGCTCTCCAGCGCCGCCCCTCCAGGGGGAGACCATTCTCTTGCACCGAGTGCAACAAGTGCTTCTCGACCAGGGCCCAGCTCGCCAGCCATGTCCGGGCGCACACGGGAGAAAAGCCCTTCCCATGCCTGGAGTGTGACAAGAGCTTCCAGCTGAGCGGCTTGCTGAAGGTCCACCAGCGTGTGCACAGTGGAGAGAGGCCCTTCTCCTGCAGGAAGTGCGGCAAGGGCTTCACCAAGCAGTGCAAACTCACCGAACACAGCCGAGTCCACAGCGGGGAGAAGCCTTTCTGGTGTGCTGAGTGTGGCAGGACCTTCCGCCAGAGGGGACAGCTGCTGCGGCACCAGCGCCTGCACACAGACGAGAAGCCCTTCCAGTGCCCCGAGTGCACGCTGAGCTTCCGTCTCAAGAGCATGCTGAGAGCCCACCGGCTCCGACACAGTGGGGAGAGGCCGTTCTCCTGCAGCGACTGTGGCAGAGCCTTCACCCACCAGTGCAAGCTCCGGGAGCACCTGCGGGTGCACAGTGGCGAGAGGCCCTTCCAGTGCCCCGAGTGTGACAAGAGCTTCCGCCTGAAGGGCATCCTGAAGGCCCACCAGCGCACCCACAGCAAGGAGAGGCCGTTCTCGTGCGGGGAGTGTGGCAAGGGCTTCACCAGACAGTCCAAGCTCACCGAGCACCTGCGCGTGCACAGCGGGGAGAGGCCCTTCCAGTGCTCCGACTGTGACAGGAGCTTCCGCCTGAAGGGGCAGCTGCTGAGTCACCGGCGCCTGCACACGGGGGAGAGGCCCTTCCAGTGCCCGCAGTGCGACAAGAGATACCGCGTGAAGGCCGACATGAAGGCCCACCAGCTGCTGCACAGCGGGGCGATGCCGTTCTCTTGTGAGTGTGGCAAAGGCTTTGCCAAGCAGTCGAAACTGGTCGAACACATCAGGACGCACACGGGGGAGAAGCCTTTTCAGTGTCCCAAATGTGACAAGAGTTTCCGCCTAAAGGCACAGCTGCTCAGCCACCAAGGCCTGCACACAGGAGAGAGACCTTTCCGCTGCCCTGAGTGTGACAAAAACTTCCGGGAAAAGGGACATATGCTTAGGCACCAGCGCATACATAGGCCGGAAAGGCCGTTTGCCTGTGGTGACTGTGGCAAGGGCTTCATTTATAAGTCGAAACTTGCTGAGCACGTCAGAGTGCACACAAAGTCCTGTAGTGCGGCCCATGAGCCCGACATTAAGAAAAGGCTCAGGCAGCTGTTTGCCATGATTGAGGCCGACTGGAGCTGAGGCTGAGCGGGCCGCTGGGAGCCTCCAGCAGGGCTGACACTGCCTGGGAACGGCCGGCAACCGTAGCCAAACCTCCCAGTGGACTTTAGGAACAGAGCAAGAATGTAAGAGCAGTTAGGAATATGAGAAACCACAAAGGATTGTCTTTCTTAAGCATCACCAGTTATATTTTCTATCCATTGCTCAAAAGAGACATTTGTTCTTCCTACCACCTTAAATGGTAATTTTCTCCCAAGTGCTAAGCCAGCTTTGAAACCCTACCTTGAATTTAGACAGGAAACCCCTCCAGTACTGTTCTCAAGGCTAAAAGAACGGGTTAGCTGTGAAATGTCAACTCCCCTCTATTTTTTCATAGCATGATCCTAAACTGTGGGTTTAAATACACTGAATTTTGTTGCAAGCCTGCTAATGACATTAGATTTGATTTTGAGTAATTTTTTTTAAACTGATAGTAATAAAATGATGTCTCTGCATCGTAGTTTGTTGATGTAGTTGCTGAAGTTTCACAGCAGCTTCCATGTGATCATGCATAGTTTCCCCTAAGGAAAAGCTGGTCATTTTAGGAAAAGTGGGCTATTCTGAGGTGAAGAAACATGAAACTGACCGTGCTAAGACGTATGGGACTAGAATTTAGATAAGCGATTGGGAAAGGAAGTGTTGATTTGGGAGTTCCAGGAAAGAGATGCTGTTTGAAGCTGAGAGAGTGAATGCAATTCCCATTCACAGACAGAGTGACTGTCTAAGTAGGTGACTAAGTTAAGACAAAATAACAAAGCTAAATAGCTTTATTAGGGAGCATTACGGGTATCAGCAGCTTAACGTGGAGCGTTTTCAAGCAAATGTTAAAAGTAAACATAATACAAGAGGAAGTCCAGCAAAATACCATGTTTGGTTCATTAGGTGAGGCTTCTGTGAGCACAGAATATTTATGCTTCAGGACAGAGCTGTATTTCATACTAAGGATTCCTGACTTTCAGAGGCTTCGTGTTTAGAGCACCCTCTTTTCTCAAGTGATCAGACACTAACAAAGGTGACTGATAATATCAAGAGATTATGTCACTTAGACAGGTTTATAATCACTCAGAGACATGGTGATGTCTGCTGTGTTCACAGGGTAGCCAACCTCATAAAACTTGGAGATAGATTCAACGTAAGCAAAGAAGGGACGGTGGCCCTGCCCAGATGAGCACCTTCGTGTGGGACCCAGAAGAAGAGGATGTGACTGTCAATCAGGTAGAGGTTTTGAGGGAGACTGAAGGCCAGGGCCTCTAGTGTGGCGTTCTCACACATTGTCACAATGAAAGGATCTCAGAGATAGTGAAAGATCCAGAGTGTTGGAGTTTGGTTAGAAACTGGACATGTCTTGGAGGAAGTTGAGAAAAAGGGTAAGATCCAACTAAACCACAGGCACCCCAGGCTGCTCACACTAAAAATGGAAAAAACACTAGGGTGCTGTTTAAAGAATAGGGGGACCTCTGGGAAAGAAGGTGTCATGAGCATGGGCTCTCAAAACTTCCCTTGCTATCCTGTCCCAATTCCTAAAAAAAAAAAATCAAGGCTGAGATGTCCCTGACCTTCAAGGATAAGGAAGGGTTTTCACTTATCTTTGGGATATAAAACTGAAAGGAACAAACAAGACAAACAAAAACTCAAGCACAGACAACAGTTCAATGGTTACCAGAGGGTAAGGGGAGGAGGGTGGTAGAAGAGGATAAAGGGGATCAAGTATATGGTGACGGAAGGAGAATTGTGGGTGGTGAACACAGTGCAATAAAGAGATGACGTATTATAGAATTGTACACTTGAAACCTATATAATTTTACTAACCAGTGTCACCCCAATAAATTTAATAAAAATTTAAAAATAAGGGAGGATGCCTACAAGCACTCTTCCCCCACTCCAAAAAAAAAAAAATTCTATCACCTACAAAGGTATAATAAATCTGACTGGTCCAACAATGAAGATCATATTAAAGGGGAAAAAAATTTCCATCAAAGTCAAGAAGAAGACTGTGGTCTCTGCTGAGCCATTATTTAACATGGAATGTATTATATTATTGTGTACCTGGAACATCCAAGAGAATCAGCTAAGTAATTATACAAGAAAAAAGATCCTATTTACAGAGCCCCGTCACGGTCTTGATTCAAGATAGGACCTAAGCACATTCTCATATTTGTCTCTCCTGCCTCTCAATATCCCATTAAAATTACAGTAAAGAAACCTTCTTAAAGCTATAAATTTATGACAATGAAGAGAATTAAGAGGAGATCATCAGCAGATGAGAAATTTGAGTGATTTCAAAGATTTCCTGGAAGAATGGTACCCTATGAAATGGAGCAGAGTTGCCACACCAGGAAGTAA